GCGGTCTTGTGATTGTGAATAGGAATAATAAAACAAAATATAAAATACAAAAGAAAAAAGTTAAATAAATAAATGTGAAAAGCAAGTGGAGAGAAAAACAAAAGTGCATAAAAGTGTGTAAAGAAGCAAAACAAAATTTATACAATTACTTACTTTTAAGTAAAGTAGGAAGCAATATCGCGTGTCGTTTTGGGACTTTTTGCAATAATTTTACGTATGCACATATATGTAAATACTATAATTAAGTACAATAGAGTGGAAAGACCCGACAAATGATTTTGTAAGCAGATTTCGCAAATGTTCGTAGGCGTGCTAATGAAGCGGAGGTGTTAAAAACGCTGGAAGGATACTTAAACTTCAAACCGAATTCCTGCATAGGGAAACATCCTCAGGCTGCACTTCAAACTAAAACTCAGGATCTCTCTATCTCTCTACATACATATGTAAGGAAGAGTAGAAGCAATATTAACAGCCATTTGAACCGTCTAATCAGGCAGTGTTAAGGCGTGTGAAGACCAAAATAGTAAATAGCCGGCAAGTTGCTGCTTCTACAACTCTGGTGCATTCTAGTACTAGCCCAGGCGTGACGAGACAAAAGTTGGGATAAGGCCATAAAAAGTTGCAAAATGTCACGGACATTTTGGCCTTTGCGACCGGTATTGCCGTTATTATTGTTGGCTTACCTATTACTGGTGAGTGCATTCATATTTAGTATTTTATTATTTACGTTTTCTTTTTACTTCTTGATTGCACAAATGTATCTGACATCTTTATTGTAATGCAACTATTTTATTACAAAATTTATATGCATGCTTTGTGTACATAAGCTATTCATGTTTTCATATACATATCTACATATGTATGTGGGTATGTATGGGTACATTTGCGTAAATTTGCATACATGTATGACTGCATGATTATCACTAATATTTATTGTTTAAAGCGAGTTTGTTCATTTTGTTTTGTCATGCTTATTTGGTTATTTATATTTTCATATATTATTACTCTATTCCTTATATTCTCACAGCTGTTTGTATTAAAGTAGTCATTTGCATATATTTATGTGTGTTTGTATATATTCATACATACTAAATTGTAGATACAATGTTGTTAAAATTGTCAACCTGCGGTGGATGATTGCATGACGGTCAAGGGAATTTTTAAAGTTCTAAAACTAGAAACTCAACTGATTTGACAAGATAAAGCTTACCAGTGGTGGTCAAAACATATGAAACTAAATCCATACCAAAATGGACACTTCATGTGTTTGATTTGTTTCAAATTTTTAAGATTAATGGATAAACATAAATAATAAATAAATATGAAATTTGAGGTTGATTAACATATTTTTAAAAACTTTATAGCACAGAAAAAAAACAAATCGATTTAATAGATATCTCTAGAATGGGGCGAGGAAAAAATTTGAAAAAAAAATCACACATACACACATAAAAATTCGCTATGAAATGAAATAGTTTAAAATTTTTTTTCTTGAAAAATTTTTTGATAAAAAAATATGTTTTTGAAAATATGCCATCTCAAAAAAATTTAAAAATATCAAAATGCTAGCTCTGAGCTGTACGCAATATTTAAGTAAAGTGCTCTCTATAATAGTTTGAGTTATGATTTTTTTTACACCGAAGTTGAGTAAAATGCGTACATAACGAATTTACAAATTTTATAAAAATTTGTTTAGAATTTTTTTGAGTATGCAGTTTTGCAGGCCGATTAAATTCTAGTATAATAAAGTGGAAGTTTTAAGAGACTGCAAAACTCACGTCCATCACTTACTACTTAATTTTGTAAGGATTAGATATGGAGTAGGCAAGGATTAGAGACATGATGCACTTAAAAATAATAAGAGGTTTTATTTTTTGAAATTTGAGTTGTGTCGTTTTTGCAGAGGACCATCATTTCTTAAAGTTCATAAAATTTTTAATAAGTGTTCTACAAAGTTTGAAATTTGGATTAACATGCTTTTTCAAAGTATGTTACATTTTCATAAAAAATAATAATCATTTCTTTTCCCTATTCACATTTTTTCGGTTCACAGCGAAAAGGGACTTTGAGTGTCATCGTACTATGCGGAAGATAACGGGTGATTTTTTTGAGGTTAGGATTTTCATGCATTAGTATTTGACAGATCACGTGGGATTTCAGACATGGTGTCAAAGAGAAAGATGCTCAGTATGCTTTGACATTTCATCATGAATAGACTTACTAACGAGCAACGCTTGCAAATCATTGAATTTTATTACCAAAATCAGTGTTCGGTTCGAAATGTGTTTCGCAAACCCAATTGCTGCGAACGGCGACGAATCGACATTTCACGGTCTTCAGCAACACTCTCAGAAACAGACGCAATATTCTCTTCTGTACGCACTGTACGCATTCGTGTGGTTGGTTTAATGTCCAATAAAGTAAACTGAGTGCGAAACTTGGTCACAATCGCATTAATTGTTTGCTCACTTGGTCGATTATGTAGACCATAAATCGGACGTAAAGCGAACCGAACACTGATTTTGGTAATAAAATTCAATGATTTGCAAGCGTTGCTCGTTAGTAAGTCTATTCATGATGAAATGTCAAAGCATACTGAGCATCTTTCTCTTTGACACCATGTCTGAAATCCCACGTGATCTGTCAAATACTAATGCATGAAAATCCTAACCTCAAAAAAATCACCCGTTATAAAAGGGCTTTTGCTTTTTCGTCGGACATTCAAAGAACTTCAGTTTCGAATCTTTCCCAAATTCGCTAAAAGTCACAGAAAAAATGGGCAGTGCTTAAAAGGTTGTCGCTATTCCATATTTTGAAACAAATATCTGTTAAATAAGAATATTCAGTGAAAATTAATTTTATCATTCGATAATTAAATACTAATGGGTCTAAACAACTTAAAACTATAACTCTTTGTTTATAAAGCCTGTCCTCTTTAGCATTTCGTAACACAGCCTTTGGTAATACTTAGTTTAAGGTATTTATATTTTCAGATCCACATAATCAATTTTTTCGTAAATTATTTATCACTTATCACGACTTTTTAGGCGTTAATCTTTGTATCCAGCTTTTAAGAAAAGAGTAAAAAATTTCCATTACTTCGTGTATTTGAGTCCAAGGAATTTTCACATTTGATATTTCACAGCCTCACGCTTTCTTTACGAAATAATAGCACAGGCGTATATCTATGTTGTTCACAAAAAATTTTAGAAAACTGTAGTAGAAAGCGTAGCAAATTTCTTAAGAACTTCGTAGTGCCTTAAGGAAATTTTACACAAGAAAATTTCTTCGCCATTTATTCAGCGTTTTTTATATGGAGTTTTTGCCTTTTTTGAGAGATGGGTATTAAGCATTAAGCTCTATGCATATTTCTTATACATTGTTTCATTTATATGAATGTCTGTATATTAGGGTGGTCCTTAAATGTATGAAACACATTTTAACATTCGATTTGCCAAACCTCAACCCCTAGTCCATGCCACAATAGCTGAAGATATCACTTATAAAATTGCTCTATGAAGACTCAAAAAATTTAAATTAATTTTTTTCACCTAATACTCAAAATCGATACCAATGAATGTGAAAATAACGCATATAAATTTTGGTTCCGATTGGGGTCTGTTAAGGCATTTCGCAATGGGATCAAAATTTAGATTCCTCTATGAAGACTTTAATTTAAATTAGATATAAAACAAATAAAATACATTAATATTGTAAAGCAGTTTTTTAGTGAAATTTCGGGACTACCGAATTCGTAGACTGTAGGAAATAATACCATATAAAAAATTGTCTTGCACCGGAAACATTTTTTTTTTTGCCTTATTTGATGAAAAAAATTCTAATGAAACAAAGTAAAAAATGATTGCAACCTTAGGAGAAGACGACTACTTTGCAGGAAAAAAGTTTAATTTTGTAACTGGCAGTGAAGAAAAAGTATTGATCAATGATCTAGAACAGTTTATAAATAAAAACAGTTTCAAGTTTTTTAATCGGAACCGGAACGCCCTAATGAACGTCTTCGACAACTTTCCATAAAAGTAAGTAGAAGTGTTTGCGTGTGTAAATGTGTATTTAATGACGGCGAATAAATAGTCTGGTAGTAAAATTTTTATGCCATTTTTTTTCAAATTTCATAACAGATTTCCCAACTTAAGATAAAGTAAATATGTTTATCATAAAAGTTCGTTAGTTGTCATTGTGTTAAATTGTATAGATGAACTAGCCATTGTAAAATCTGGCCGCAAATGCTAATTTTTAAGTACATACGTAGGCCAGCACTTAAATACTTCGGGTTATGTGATAATTGACTTACGAATGGTTATTGCTTTACAATTTTGTATTTGCGAATAACCGTTGAAACACACTACCGACGAACGGCGAATTTTCGCACAGTAGTGCGACAACGGCGGCAACTTACGCTCAGTAAAACACAACTACGGTGACAACGAGTTCAGCTGCTTATGATAAGGTACAATTAAAATTTTTACAAAAAACAAGATTATTAATTTTTAACAAAAACTAATACAGTGTTTTTAATTTCGATTGAAAAACTTGAGAATATTTTGCATATGGCCACAATGGATCGCATTTTGCCGCTACCGCCATCAACGACGATAGAAATAAGTCTATCGTTGCGAACAGTCGTCGGACGAACGCCGTCGTTTGCTTTGATTGTGTGTCATATACAACAGTGTGTTTAAATTTTTACAGCAAACATTCGCAGCGAAAAATTCGCCGTTCTTCGGCATTGTGTTTCAGCGGTAACGCTAATGTGAAGTGTTTAAGTCGCAGTTTCTTTTCGCATGTGAATACAAAGCAAATTATTTTTAGCAGCTGTGAGTGCGGCTTAAAACAGTGGCTGGTTGTGTGATAAAGAGACAGCTTTTATGCTATATAATTGAACACAGCAAATAAATATATGTATTATGAATGTGTTTAAGTTTCTTGAAGTTAGTAGGTATTTTAGTCTTCTTATGCAGTGAAACGAAAAGGTGCTAAAAGTTTATAATAATATCAAAAATTGTCGGTTGTATCGAACTCTGTCGATTGCAGCAAAAATTGTGCTATTAAAATGTTGCAAATCATTTGAAGAAAATGAGTTTAGAAACTATTTCCTCTCTACATATATCAACCTATCGACCTTGTGCCTATATACGAATTGTTTATATAAAAAAACGCTAACACACAGCTATGAATGGTATCTTTCTGAAAGAGGTAGAGCACAAAGCTCTAGTGTAGTCCAAGCATTCATATCGCTAGCTTAGAATGAAAAGTTGCTAAGTCCATTTGTGATAATAGGTCTTTCTTTGTAGGGCTTTCTTTTCATTGACAACTAAACTGCCAAAAAATTTTAGCTATTCACAATAATAATTAAATCAAAAAATAAAAGTCCGGGAATAAAATTGTCACCGAATCGATACAAGTACTTTCTTCCAATACCTACTCAGTACTAGGTTCAAAAGTATCGATACCAAAATTACTTGGTATCAGAAAAAAAGTATCGAGTATGTACTTTAATTTACTAGTATCGTTTTGTGCCTATTCATTTTATTTACAGTAGTTCTCAGAAACAAGGTATTAAATAAGGGAAATTGTTTAGGTTTGTTTGCAAATATATAGTCTTCAAAAATGTGTACATATGTACATTAGACTGCATCACTCCCCATACAAAAAAAAATCGGTACTATTTTTCCATTGGAATTATAAAAACTATTATATTTTAAAACGTCCACCAAAATATTTCGGAAAAATATTAAGATTTAAGTAAGCTGTACCGATTTGAAAATACCTCCAAAAATTTAGTTTTTTATGAATAAAAATAGTTTCTTAAAATTTTTTTTGAAAAAATTCCCTCAAATGACAAAACGGGTTAACGAACGTCATTCAAAGTTGAATTAAGATGTTTTGGTGTTTGAAAAAAAAAAGTTTGGGACAGAAATGACTTAGTTTTGGACAGAAATAAAAACAGTGTGAAAATACCTTTCTACTGAGACCCCATAAGTCTAAATTAGAATAGTTTTGGCACAGTTATTCAAGTTTTTCGTAAATCAATCTTTGAAAAAAGTACAAAAAAAACCGCATCAAAAATCTCATTCTTACGATTCCGTTGAAAATATTTTTATGCAGATTTTTTAAGCTTAATCTGTTTTGTCATCTGAATGGACTTTTTTCAAAAAGTTCTTTAAGAAACTATTTTTATTCATAAAAAACTCCATTTTTGGAGGTATTTTCAAATCGGTCCAGCTCACTTAAATCTTAAAATTTTTCCGAAATATTTTGGTGGACGTCTTAAAATATAATAAATTTTGTAATTGTGGCGGAAAAACCGCAACATTTTTTAGTGATGCAGTCTAATGTACATACATACCTTTGGAGAGTTTGTATATACATCTTTGTTTTTTTTGTTGTTGCTATTTATCCATATGTGTTTATTTGCGTCAATTTGCTTTGCAGTGATGTTTGTGTTTTATAAATATGAGCAAAATATTCCAAAACATTCCACTAAACTGGCATTTAATTTTCTATAGCCTTATCTAATTTTAAAACCCGACAAAGTATTTAAAATATTCAAGCCATTGCATGTTTGCTTACTTAAAAAGTGTTCATAAACTTAACAAAAAAAAAAAAAAATTAATTTTAAACAAATAATATTTAAAGATACATATTGATGTATTTATAGAGTTAATATAGATTTGTGTTCTACTAAATAATGTGAATAAATCATGGATTTAAGCTAATTTAACTTTACTTAAAAAAAAATTTAATTTTAATCGTCTTAAATCAAATGGTTCCCATCAAAAAATCAGCTGGGTTGCCTCAACAGGACCGATGGTTTCTTCACGGAGACAAACGGAGTGAAACGCTCTCAGTTATTTTACAGACGCTCTGAATAATAGTTACGCGAACGTCGGTTTCAAGGTACAAATTTCGTTGCCGGAACTGTTATGAGTGAATATGACACAAGCTGTGCTACTGCTACTTTTTAGCTCCACATCGCCCGGTCCGGGTAATATCTTACCTATTGTACTCAAAGATGGTGCTGAGTTTTTGTTGACGATTTTGAAAAAGATTTTAACTGCATCGCTTGAATTTGCTTACATACCACATAATGAAGACAATTTGACGTCGTCTGTATCCCTAAAGTTGGTAGGAACATTTTATTTGCTAGCATAGCCTTCTTCTTCAGGCCGATTAATTTCATGTCCTTCATATCGAAATGTCGATACAGATTTTTCGAGTTGGGGAAAAAGTACCTCACACACATCCTCTGTCTTTGCATGTCAAACTGAATGGCCTATTCTGTTTTAAAATTTGTGTATGTAGTCAATATGTATATGTAGATATCTAGGTGTGTATATGAAAACCCTGTAGGGAACTCAACTTAAAATAAATGTACTATAAGTTCATTATTTTTCAACTAGGGGTGCCTCGACTACTTTACGTTGCTTTCAACTGACAACTTTTATATGATGATGACGCAAAGAAATTCAGTTTGTTTTCAGCTAACTATTTAGTTAGCATGTACTAAGACCTGTAAATACATTAAGGATATCCAAAATAAATTAATGAATTTATGGCCTAAAAAGGACACCTTTTAAAATTAGAATAAACATTTTTCCAAATGGGAGAGTTTTCCTCTCAGTAAATATATAGGTTTTTTTAATGCCATAAAGTCGTTAAGTTAACTATTTTTGGATCACAATTCTCGAAAATCTGATTTAAAAGTTAAAAATGTTGATGAAAATTTGCCGAATTTTCGCGAGTTTTGCACAAAGTTTAGGAATTATATTTTTACCCATACATGTATATCTATGCATTAGGGCTGCTCAATTTTTCTTTTACTATGAGCGTATAGCATAGGAGGATTCTACGTGCAATTCTAAGTAAATTTACTGAAGAAACCATGGGTCTAAAATCAATTTGGAGTTTTCCAAATTGCGAAAATAGGTTTCGGAGAAAATTTGCACTGTTGGGCCTTTTGGTGGAAGTTTTAAGAAAAGATAATTGCAGAATGGATTATACAAAATTTAAGCACTTCTTTGCGATACTACAGCAAAATACTAAGTAATATTTTTTCGCAATTTGGCAAACTGTAAATTTATATGGGACCCACGGCTTCTCGGAAAATTTGATTAGAATTACACGTAGAATCCTTCTATACGTGCATAATCGAAAAAATCTCCCATACAAAGTGACCCGCCCTAATATGGATATGCATAAAATGCTTTGTTGTTTTACAACAGAAAAGCTGCTGGTTAAGCGGCGAGAGGAACGCGCGAAATAATGAAAAGGAAAAAGCATAGATGAAATTATTTTTATTAAATACTCATTGCATTATTTCATATATTTATTGCAAAATAATTTTTTTGCAGACAAATGCTCCTAAACACATTAATTTTTACATAGGTATGTGTGCAAATATTTATAGAGGAACAAATCGGTAATCAAACGGCCAACCGGCTGTTGCACTAAATATATACCAAATAAATTAAAAGTTGCAAATACCAATACTACGGTTCAAGTTTAGTTGAACTATAAAAAAAAATTCTAGCAAGAATATGTACATACATCGGAATATAATTACTACATTTGAATTCAATTCATTTGATCCTTCTGAACTTTTGAATGTATGGACATGTACATATATTGGATGTCGCTTTGCTAACTAAAGAGGCACCCATTTGCATTCTAACAATAGATTATCAAATTTTAATGCGACACTCAATTGTTATTCTGTAGTAAAAAATTAATTCTATGTGTTCTTTTGTACTTGAAATCTCAACAAAATGCTGATATACTTAAGTTCGGCGTTCTGCGCTTTTGCGTTAGCTTCCTCAAAAATATATTAATTAGTCTCGACTAGAGATGCCATCTTTAAATTAAATCGATTAGATTTTTTCTCATTGATATTGAATTTTTTGATATCTCATCTATGGCGGAAATTCGGTTTAAGAATTTATGANCTAAATATATACCAAATAAATTAAAAGTTGCAAATACCAATACTACGGTTCAAGTTTAGTTGAACTATAAAAAAAAATTCTAGCAAGAATATGTACATACATCGGAATATAATTACTACATTTGAATTCAATTCATTTGATCCTTCTGAACTTTTGAATGTATGGACATGTACATATATTGGATGTCGCTTTGCTAACTAAAGAGGCACCCATTTGCATTCTAACAATAGATTATCAAATTTTAATGCGACACTCAATTGTTATTCTGTAGTAAAAAATTAATTCTATGTGTTCTTTTGTACTTGAAATCTCAACAAAATGCTGATATACTTAAGTTCGGCGTTCTGCGCTTTTGCGTTAGCTTCCTCAAAAATATATTAATTAGTCTCGACTAGAGATGCCATCTTTAAATTAAATCGATTAGATTTTTCTCATTGATATTGAATTTTTTGATATCTCATCTATGGCGGAAATTCGGTTAAAGAATTTATTTTTTNAGTCTCGACTAGAGATGCCATCTTTAAATTAAATCGATTAGATTTTTTCTCATTGATATTGAATTTTTTGATATCTCATCTATGGCGGAAATTCGGTTTAAGAATTTATGAATTTTCTGTTGAACGATCATATCATCGCTACCATGTCAAACTATCGAATGTGAAAATGGGTATTTTTCAGGAGGGCAAAAAAAAAAACGGCTGTAAAAAATGCTGTTATCATTACCAAAAAGTGTGGGATTTGAGCAGGGGCGAACGCAGAAATTTTAAACTTTTTTTTTAATATAATCAATTCCACCAAATATGCCTATATTTTTTTTTTTTTAATAAATTCGAGTGCTTACATACAGTTGTCCACAATATAATAGGTGTGCTATATTTTGACCAGTTTTGGCTATTTGTCTTTAGTTTATTTAATGTTTTTTATTTTTATTTTTTTTTATAAAAGCCTAGGTTTTATGGCAAACACCATATACATTTACTCTTCAAACTTTGTACAACAATTATAACAATTCTGAAAACTTTTACCAAAATATCAAATTTTTTAATCAGAACCTTTTTTGTTTTTAGTACGCAGTTTTGTAGCCCATTTAATTCTATTGCAAGTTTAAAGTTGGTAAAAAATCCCGTTGATTTCTGAGAATTTTTTTTGGTTAAAGGTAAAATTAAAGCTATTTTTTAGCAGCTTAAAACTTAATTAGACTAAAATTAAATAAACTAAATTAGCTACAGGATTGAAATATGAATTTATTTG